CCTGAGCTGTCATCACACCAAACAGACCCGCGCCACCGCCATCGCCACCAATGAAAGCCGGCTCAAAGCCACGACCTTTCCCATTAAGACCACAATGGCCTTGGGGTCCTCCTCAACACTGTGCATGTGAGAAGAGTCCCCTCAGTCACTCTTGCACTAGAGAGTTCTTCCTGAAGAACTTCCCCACTGTCTGTCATTCACCTCTTTGCTAGACAGAGCAGCAGTTCTCAACCTGTGGGTCATGACCCCTGTGGGGGTCAAACGACCCTTTCACAGGGGTCGCCTAAGACCATCGGAAAACACATATATAATTACATATCTTTTGTGATTAATCACTATGCTTTAATTATGTTCAATTTATAACAATGAAATTGGGGGTCACCACAACATGAGGAGCTGTATTAAAGGGTTGCATCATTAGGAAGGTTGAGAACCACTGGGAGCAAAACACATAGCTGTCTGATTTAGCCCTTGAGAAGAAAATGCTTTGCAAATGATATATTGATGCCTCATTCTATTCATGTTTCTGCTGGAAATTGGCTACTTTTCTGCATCAGGGGATGAACAGCCACCTCCTACTTTGTCTCCGTGCCTTTTAAAGTTGTCTTGATCCCTGTGATTTGACCTTGAACGAGCAGTGAGACTAATCTCATGCAGAGAGGCGTCACTTCAGCCACCTGGCCAGCTTCTGCCTACCTCACCTCTACCTCCATGGGGACCTCATCATCTCCTAGTTTGGGGAACATGTCTCTGAAGACCCTTTGTGCCAGGTTACTCCTGGCAACTATGCACACAAATGACACATTGGAGTCTTCAGCCAATTTGTTATCCTTCTGTTTAACTGAGGCCGGGTACTTACAGTGCTGGCCTTCTAGGTCCCGGGCCACCCATCGGCAGGGCTTGTTTTCTCAATGGGAAAACAGGGTCTCCTTCAGAAACCCGAGGCGCAGAAGTTTTAAGCCAAACAAAATGCCTTCTAAGTCAGCTAGTAGAAAACATTCAGACATTAGCATTAGGATCCTGATGACTTCAAACTTATTTTTTTTTAATTCACGATTCCATTCCTCACCCACAGTTCTTCTACTCCTTTCTCTCCTTGGTAAGAGTTAGTCATCGGAGCCAGTTGGCCCTCCGAACATTCTTCTGGTGTCTGGAAATAGGATCGCATGCAGGGATCAAAAAATTTATTTTCTCTAGCTAACCTCATAAAATGCAGCCTCTGGTGCCTATCGTAGATTTTCCTTTTTTTATATCTGTAACCTCATGCCCATGATCTGACCAGCTAGATTCAGAAGGCTAGTCATGCGCTGTTTGCCACAATATGTTACCTCGAGTGTCATACTAAAAATGTGCAAAGAAATAATTACAGTGGAGAATAGAGGTGCAAAAAGCTGTGGATGGGGGTTCTCTCTGACCAAAATCTCATTCCAACTTCCTGCCAAGTGCTTCAGAACTACTATGCTGTTAAAGAAGACCTATCTCGCTGCTAACTGTGACCAGCAAAGCAGTGCCCGTGGCCTTCATTTCTTGAGTTTTGCTCAGTTGCTAACCATGAAGGCTCCACTCTGCTCTCATCCCAACTGGCATGGAGTTCCAAAGTTAACACTGGAGAACTCCCAGGGCATGTCACCTCCAATTCATCAACACGCAGTCCTGGATTCTACACATTCTTACACTTAATAAAAACAGGAATGAAGGAGAAAAGTGAGGAAAACATTATTTTCGAGGAATTTACTTGATAGCATCTTAAACCCATGAGCCAAAGCTGTCCTGGGTCCTTTGAATCCAACTGTGAGGTGGAAAGGAAGATGGCTGGGGAAGCCGCATGGGGCGGTAAGCTTCAGACAGCAGCCATTGTCCAATGCCTGTAATGACTCAACTGTTTATCATATTGTGAAGAGGGAAAATAACCTTGAAAAGAAACAAGGACTCAAACAACTGATGTGAAAGGTTTTTGTCCGTCCCCCAAGTCATGTGTTCCTTTTTTATTTTGCCTGAAGATTGTGCCAGGTTTGGGTTTTTTTTCATCCCCAAGAAATCTCACCTAATATTGCCATTTGGGAAGGGAACGAATACATCACAATGGAGGCTGGTACTTCATACACATGATGCATACATTCCTGGGGATAATATTTAGTGCTATTATAATAAATCTTTTCCAGATCTTGCAAATAATAGGAAAGAGGATTTTTTTCATACAAAGGAAAAACTTCGCCTTCTTGGGAATATCAAACCCTCATCTGATACACTCAGACCTAATTAGTGGTGAAAACTGAATAAATCAGAAAATTCTTTAAAAATGATATATTCTAGCACATACCTTAAAACTTCAGTTGAATTTGCAGGTATAGTGACTGACCATCCTGACTTGCCTGTGATGAGCCACAGCTGGTCATCCTGTTTATAGCACATAAGGGGACACACTTACATACCCTGTTTTGGACGATGATGTTTCTATGATTAAGGATCTACTACCTGGAACTCTACGTGGACCTTCTTTCATGAACCACTCCAATAACATGGTCTATGATTTCCCATCTCAGCTTCTTTGAAGTCAAGCAAGAATAAAAATACTTGTGAAGACTAGAATCCTACATTTTTTAAAATGTGTTTTTATTGATTTTAGAGAGAAAAATAGACACATCCATGAGAGAGAAACATCGATTCACTGCCTCCTGCATGATCCCCACTGAGAATCAAGCTCGAAAGCTGGGCTTGTGTCCTGACCAGGAATCAAACCGATGACCTCTTGGTGCATGGGACAAAGCTCAACCACTGAGCCATAGCAGCCAGAGCAGAATCCTACATTTTTATTTATTTTTATTTTTTAAGATTCTTTATTGATTTTTTTGAGAGAGAGGAAGGGGAAGGGAGAAAGAGAGAAACATAAATGGGAGCAAAACATCAATTGGCTGCTTACTGCACACCCCTCCCTGGGGATCAAGCCCACAACCTGGGGCATGTGCCCTGACCGAGAATTGAACCAGTGACCTCTCAGTGCACGGGACAATGCCCAACCAACTAAGCCACACTGGCCAAGGTAGAAACCTACATTTTTACAACATTCTCACACCTTGTGTACTTGTCACAACCCACTTTTGTTGACAGAAAGCCTTTTGTACTAATTTTGATTCTTTTCCAAAATAGTCAATGAACTTTCAAAGCAATGACTTTTTTACACTCACATTATAAAATATTTGTGTTACCATTTCATTGAATGACAAAATTCCAATAGCAAGTGCAATTGGCTTGAGAAGGTTTGGAACAAACACACTGACCCCGTATGCACCCAGTTCACCCCCTGGAGCAGAAAGTCCTGAGTGTCCTGGGAGAGCGTGGGCTGGACCGGCCAGAGGTGCTCAGCATGCCACAGGGATAAGATATGGGTTTTACTAGTACGTGCATTACATGGGACTATGGAATACATCAATTAATGCAGCGAGTCAATAACATGGCAGCAAATTAGAAAACTCCTACACTAAAATATGTCAGCCCATACTACAAAAACATGAATTTTCTTCAAGGAGCTAGCTCATTAGGATATTTAACAAGCTCATTTTAGTATCAATCTGCTTTCCACTGCCTTATTATTTCTGGGAAGTGCGAATTCATGCTCATGCCCCAAGTCCTACTGTTAACCAGTTATATTTCAACCACTATTGAACTTTAAACAGTTCAGCACATAAGTGACTGAATTTGCTCTAGATACTGTATTGGGGGTTGGGGAGAGTTTATCCAAAAGAATCATAGGCCTTTTCTACAGGTAGACATGATTTATACATGTGAAATAAATGGAAAAGTGTAACCAATTAAATATAATCAAGTGCACATACATGGGTTGTGCGTGGTCGCTCAGTGTTACAGGCAGTTGAGAAGCAAACAGTTAATGCTGGCTGAAGGTCCTATAGATCTTACTTTGCTTCCAAAATGATTACAAACCCTCCTGAGCTTTATGAGTCAGCCGCACAGTTACTCTGGACACAGAGTTAGACAAAAGCTGTCACTCCAGGCACTTGCATCTCCACCATCCCTAAGACCAACTGAAGGAAACTGACACGGATTTCCCTCCACATCCTGCTGCTCACTCACCCCATCCCTTCCAACAGGGATACAGGAAGGAGAAGGGACCAGAAATGATTCCTCCCACTCCACCCACGCACACCACACTCCAGGTGCAGAATGCGCCTCTACAGGATGACTTACCCTCTCCTAATTAGAGGCCTGAATTAAGACCACAGTGTATATTCAGTAAAAGTGAAATTACTCAGATATGTAGAGCTTCTATGCATAAAGTAAAATTAGCTCCTTTTTTTTCTTTCTATATTACATACTTGCCTCAATGTGGCCCAATGCCAAGAGGAAACCAAGCCAGTTTCAGAAACGCTTTACATAGAGATTGTCTAGTTTGCATAATTCCTTTCATCGCCATTCAACCCTTGTGTGTTGGTTGGGAAACCAGTGGGTCTGGAAGAAAATCAATGGCTGCAGGAACGTCCCGATGGGGTTCCCGAGTGACCGCAGGCCAGCCATCCTCAGCCAGAAGTACGTGCATCACCGTATTGCTCAGCATCCACATGTGCCCACCCTGCCCTGACCTGAGTTTCCCTTTCAATCACCTGACCAAAAACCATATCTCAGACCTCACTCCTGTCCAGGTAACTTCGCAGACCCACCAGGAAGCACATGGCAGGCATTTCACTGGCAGGAGATTCACACGGGCACAGCCCCAGGAAGGCCTTCATCTCTCCCAGCATCACCAGAAGGAACCTCAGCAGCAATGTCTTACCGCCAGCTCTCTTCACTAACCAGACAACAAAGGGATCAGGCAGAGCAGGGCTTTAAAAACGACTGCTAGATTACTTCACTAAAAACTTGATGATCCAATGACAGGAGCTAACCCAACCAAGAGTGGCTATTCATTCCCAGGAGTGGCATTTCTCATCACATGTTTAATCACGGAAGGTGGATGGCAAGCATCCCCATCTACACGTGTCACTCACCGATACAGGTGTGGACCCTCACGGACAGTTGTGTCCTCAGGATGATGCTGTGCTTCTTGCCCCGCCTAATGGAGAGAAAACACACATGGGCATCAGAGGAGTCAGCGAGAAGCCTAGATGCCGACAATCCACTCGAAGGTTCCGACACATCCACCAGACAGAGACTCCAGATAAGCAGGGACCTAAACAGAACAAGAATCTCTCCTGGAATAATGTGATGTCACAGGGTTTTCCAGAAAATAATAAAGTTTGACTCTGTTGGATTGACACACGCATTTTATTGCCAAACCCGGTCAACTCATTCCATCCACAGAGTTTGTGTGTTCTCATGCTTGACCATGTTGGGAAATTTTCAAATCTGTGCCCATAAAGTGAAATCCCAGGAATGTAACAACCCAAATCGGCCTGATCATTCCCATGGCTATTTTTACATTTTTCTGGATATAGGAAAGGGGCACAGGCAGTGGGGGGATCAGAAAGAGCTGCTTTGCTGTGTATCAATTCAAGACTACTGGGTTTTTATCCTTTCCAGGAAGATGAGAATCCACCAAAGAGCTTATAGGCTATTTACTATTGGGAACTCCAATGTACACACCTCGCTTCACCTTTGTTTCCTTCTCACTTCATTCCTCATGAGGAAGCAAAGAGCTGGCCCCTCCCCAATTCTGTTCCCACCAGGGCTCATCCCGCATTATGCAAAGGAGGACTAAAGCACTGAGCAGGTGACAGAGAAGATGATAAATGGGAAGAAACTTGAGTCCTGGCTACCTGGGGGTAGCAAAGGCTTTGAGACTGGGAGAAAGCGGAAGCCAATGGGCAGAGGTAAACGGAGCCAGCCCACCAGCATGGAGCAGGGAAGCCGCTGGGGCTCTTGGTGGCTGAAATGCCCTTCCATCACTCTTCTGGCCTCTCACCCCTGCCCATCAGGGCTTCCTTTGTAAAGGAGTCTGGCAGTAATTCTTGGTTTTACGGTTGTGTTGGAGGGGACGGGAACAGACATCTCACCAGGCACACTGTTAATATTGTGATTATGGATTTATCGTCATCAATGAAACATTCTATTTCTTATGCTTGAGACCAGATCAGAGGGGAAAGTATGGTGTCAAAGGTTGTTTTTTTTTATTCTTTTAAAGGAGAAAGGAAAGCCAGCTGCATAGTCCTACAAAAGCATGCAGTGGCCTCCCGCCCTGCAGCTGCTTATAGGTTTAGAACCTGCATCCGGTCCCTTCAAATCCCCAGGGCTCCCCCTTTCCCTTCCCACTTTGTTCATTTGATTGATTTACATATGCTGTGTGCAAGGCACTAGTCTCAAGGAGCTTACAACGAATCCACAGCCCTTGACCCATCTTCAGAAGATGGATTTGAGATTCCTAGGAGGGCAGACTTCTTCAAAACTTTCTTCCTCACACACACACACACACACACACACAAAAAGGGGCGTGGTCCTCAGTGGGAGCCTCCCGCAGAGCTGGAGCAGAGACTGCGGAAGCCCTGAGGGGAGCCAGGCCCCAACCAGGAGGAAGAGCAAACCTGGAGCACCATCAGTCCATGGCCCATGTTATCAGCATTAGGAGTCGATGATAAATACCAGACGACGGGAGGCAGAGCACATGCTTTGGATGCCCTGAGTGCGGAAGCAGGGGTGGCCGGGGAAACAGTTCAGAATACCTCAAGTTCTGGAAAGTTCAAAGGGCCCTCACTTTTATCTTCAAACAACTGCAAAGTCACATTTTAAGGAAGCGCTTAAGTTTTCCCAGAGAATCCTGCAGTCTCCCAGTGAGAGCGTGGGGCTGTCACCCTAGGATTCCCAGCGCCTTCATGAAAACCAGGACAGTCTCGGAGGCGGCCCTGGCAGGCCAGCCACTCTGAGGTGCCGTGCCTCCTGTGCTTGTGCCTTGAGAAACCAGGCAATCGGACAGGTTAAGCCAAACCCTGGTAGAACTTAAGAGACCACAGAACAAAAAAAGGCCTATTTTGTAGTAGTTTTCTCTCTTATCATTCCAATTCTGTACCTCCTTCCCTGTCTGCCCCTCTACACAAAACGCTGAGATGGGAGGAATCGCTGTGGAAATTCTCAGAATAGAGCCAAGGTCTATAGACGCTGCCTAAGGGGTTGAGTCGCCAAATCCCAGGAGCTACTGGCAGAGGAGGGAGCCGGCCAAGGCGGAGACAAGTGGCGGTGAGTGCAGGCTGGCCCCCAGAAGGTGTCCTTCATCTCCCACCCCTCCCTCACCCACCTCCACTTTCTCCCATCTTCAATGTGGGTACCATCACTGTGTCCATTCTACAGGCGAGGAAAGCAAAGCCTGTAGAAATGACGTAACCTCCATAAAGTCAGAGGGCTGGTGGAAATCGAATCGGGCCGGAAGGCAGAGTGTCTGGCTCCACAGTCACCAGCCGCATTCTGCCTTTTGCTATACAGCTGCCTCACTATACAACCTCTCCACTTTTTTTAGTGGTTTAACCTCAATGCTAAAATCTATTAAAGAGGACACACAAATTAAAATGCAAAAAATCTAAGAAAATATTGCCAAACCAAATTATGAAAATAATATAACAGGACCAAATAAGGTTTCTCCTAAGACTTTAAGGATTACAGGAAGTTCAATGTTTTATTTATATATATTAAATATCAATGTATAAAGGACACCCATCATAAAAATGTCTTTAAATTTGATTAATGCTGATATACTAGTATTAGAGGAAAGTTGATTTTCATGCATTTCCTTTGTACATGGCCATCTCACTGCTGTTATTGATTCTAAAAATCCTTGGGCCGATTCTTTTATGGGCATAATCATGTCATCTATTAAAAATAATCATTTTATCCCCAGGCTTTTTGTAGGAAGTATGCACTTATCTTCTGTTTCATGGCTAAAACTTTCAAAGGAAAATTAAATAATCATGGGTAGATTTCCCCCTGTCCCCAGTGGGATACTATGTCAGTTTGGGTTTGGAAAATAATATTCATAACAGTTATTAACCTTCATGAAATGTTTATCGCGTGCCGGAGAAGAGTCTAAGTACTTTATACAGATTCGATCTTCAAAAAATTCCTATAAAATAGGTAACATTATTGCCATTTTTAAAATGAGGAAATTGAGGCCCAAAAGGGTTAAGCAACATAGCTGAAGTCACACAGCTAGAAAGTGACGAGCTCAGAGTCAACCCAGGCAGTGCAACCCAGAGCCTGTGCTCCTATCACCTCCCTGGTGGGTCCTCCTTCATCTACTCCCTTATTCCACTCGATATGAGATGCACGATGCACGCTCTGCCTCAAGGCAGCAGCAACCCGGAGACCCTGCCTGACCTGCAGGTTTTGGATTCCAGACTACAACATCAGTTCTTACCTGAATTTCCACCCCGCTGGCCCACTCCACAGATTTCAGACTTGCCACAATGGAGTGAGCCAATTACTTAAAATAAACCTCTCTAGATATACTCGGTAGACCAGATGGATTAGATTAGAAAGATTAGATGGGTAATGGATACCTTGTTGGTTCTATTCTCTAGAGAACCTTAATACAAACTTCGGTATCTGCCTTCATGGAGCTTCCATGTTCCAAAAATCAGTGGATTCGGCATAAACCCTTGAGTGATCTTTTCCTCCCTGATATTGACATGCTGTATCTGTTTCACAGCTGCCCCTCCTTCTGAATCCTCCTGCTTGCAGCAGGGTGACCCCAAGGCAGAAGCGATTTAATTTGACCTGAAACTCCCCAGGGAGAGTCAGATTCCATTCCTATCAGCACAGCCACTGCCAGGGAAACATCACCACTTTGGAGATTAGCCACAGCCAATCAAGTGCCCACACCCAAGGCCAGTGCTACCCAAGTGACAAGAAAACTATCTAAAATAGACCCTCAATTCAAGGGAACTCCAATCAAGGCAAACATGCCAGCGATATGAGGATGCTGCTGGTGAAGGAACTTTCCAAAACTTCCTGGCTTCTCAGAATCCACCAAGTTTTTCCTACAACCATGCCTATGGCCTTGGGGTGGGACCCGGGGAAGGGGGCGCGGGGAAGAGGGCTGGTTTAACCAAGTAAGTCTCCCAGACACCATGTTTCAGTTCTGCCCCAATCTCTCAAGAGAATATTTTTATTTATTTATTTTAATATATTTTTATTGATTTCAGAGAAAGGGAGAGGAATAGAAACATCAATGATGAGAGAGAATCATTGATCAGATGTCTCTTGCACACCCCCTCCTCCCCTGAGCCACACTGGTCAGGCTCAAGTATTTTTACAAGAATAATATATGAAGTCTTTTTGTGGCTATAAGAGCAAGTGCATACATTAATTTATTAAATGGCATGCAGCCAAAGACTTGATGACTTTTTCTTGCAACCAACAGCTGAATTAATGCCCCCAAACATTCCTCCACTCAAATTAGACCTAAACTATGATTTCGATCAAGAGTAGAAAACATGTTTGACCGTGTGGCAGAAGCAGAAATTAGGACCCGCTCAGCAGCTGCCCCAGGAATATGCTTCCTTTTAGTAAGCTTCTGGAGCGATGAGATGCAGCCATTGTTCTGGCTGAGGGATAAAGAGCTGAAGAAGGATTTGAATTAGTCATCAGCACGTGAAAAGATACTGTTAGCTCAGATTATTTGCTCAAAAACTTCAAGTTCATGAAAGCCAGTGGCTACTGTATTCATCTCCAGAGGCATTCTGGTCTTTCCTAGTAGAGAGTAGAGGTGAAAAGCATAGATGCTGAAGCCAGCTGTATGATCTTGGACAAGTTACTTAGCCTCTCTGAGCACCAGCTTCCTTGTCTGTAAAGTGGGAAAATAATATTACGTATTTGGTGACATACCTAAGAAATGAAAACTTGCTCCTATTTTCTTCTAAGATTTTTAAAGTTTTAGCCTTTCATCCCCAGGTGCCCCTAATGGGAAAGAAACCTTGGTTGAACAGCTCCCGGCTCTGGGGCCATCCTGCAGCCTCCCCTTCTCAGTCCTCCATTTTCTCCCCCACCCACAACTATTCTGCTTCCTCTCTCCCTAAATCTCCTACAACACCCTGGCCTGACCTTGGTCCTCTCACAACTTGGCTTCTCTGTGGTGAGCATGGTGTTAACTGCCCTGTCTTTGAAATTTTCTCTCTTCTTGCTGAGGCACACCCTGCTGGTTACCTACACAATTTCCATTTTCCCCTTTTGTCTCATCAAGAGAACCCAATTTTGTTTGAGGTGACATCGTTCCCACCTTCTCCAGTTCCCTTGGCCCCCAAGAGTGGCCACATGACACAGCTGTCCTCAGTGAACTGGATGTGGAAGTTGCTGGTGGGGCTCCTGGTAAAGCTCTTTAAAAGGGGCCCACCCAGCCGGCCACACAGCCACGAGACTCAGCACAAGGCCCATGCCCCTGACCACTAGGCTACACTGCCCTGTACTATGCTCTCCTCAGATGCCAGAGGCCCTGCTGGAATCCCTGCTGACACAGGGAGGGAACTGGGCTCGCCAGGTCACACTATGGCAGGGTCAGGCATAATCATTAGAGGCTTCGGGGCTCCTGTTTCCGCTACTAACTTCCCTGGCCTTGGAAGGCACTGACCAGGCCTGGCTCCCTCGGCAGCAGAATAATTGCTTTGTCCTTCCACTTCTGAAGGTCTTTCCCTCTCTTCGCCCTTTAGCCATAGCTTGAGTGATCATTCTAAACAAGGGGTGAGTTAATTTTTAGTCCTGGCATAAAAGAGCAGGGCAATGAACAAGAACAAAGAAACAAACTCCTCCAGCAAGGAAAATTCACTCCAAGCACATTGTGTGGAAAACACCATCATTTTCCCATAGCTGGTCCCGTGTCTCCATCAGATTGTCTCATTAGGGAATATTTTGCTATGATTTACACAAAGAAATCAAGAGAAGAATGCGATTTCATTTGACCTCTTCGTGCCTATGGGGGGCAATTGTTAACTAGGAAGAAATTATACTTTAACTCTCATCCGTGGGAGACATGACTTCGCAGGCACCCAGACTCCGCCAAATGCCACGCTTCCCGGAAAGGACCTCGGAGGGATGCTCAGGGCAAGTGAGGCTGCAGATGTGCATGGACACCTCGCACCCGTGCAGGAGGGCTCCACCTGTAGGCTGCTCCGAGCCAGCCCTGCCAGCGCTCAGTGGTGATCAATAGCCTGGGAGTGACCCGGGTGACCTGGCAGTGCCAGGACAGTCAATCCTGGCTTGTCTTCTGCAATCCAGGCCAGGGACAGAGGGGCTTCCCCATCAGAGAGCAGTAAAGAGCGTGGCTTCTTCACGCTCTTCTGGACAAAGAGAAGGTCATCCTGCGTACATTCCAAAGGACGAGGGGTAGGGCTCCACAAATGAAGACTATTTCAAAGCCATAAAACCTGCTCTGGGGTGAGTTGTGGCACACCTGTCAAATGCGCAGCTACCCAAAGCTTTAGGGCTACCTTACCCTGTTTGCAGTCGCCCATGCTGTGAGTCCTGCCTTCTCGCCATCATTCATTTCCCCAGCATCACATGCTGTTAGGGTGCAGAAATGTGGTCAAGGACCATGGGCCCAAGGCCAGGTGATGATTCATTAGGGAACAAAGGAAGAAAGGAAGCCAAGATCTACTCTGCTGACCTAGCAGCAGGGCCCTGGCTCTTTAGGGAGAAGCCTCCAGCTCCTGATGCTGGTGTTGACAGAGCGAGCTGTAGGCCAGGGCCAGAGGACAGCAGCAGATGCGTTCTCCCTGCTGTGGGGTTGGTGCTGTTTCAACACCACAGTCCCAGTGTTTTAACCTGGGACTGAAGGTGTCCTTGCATGAACCACCCTCGTGTCACCAAAGGTATGAATGTACATCCTCAGTAGAACCTAAAGTGCCTTTGCCCAGATGCTCTTGGGATGGTGGAGGAATACACACAAGCCTGGGAGATACTGTGGGTTTGGTTCCAGACCAAGGCAATAAGAGTCTTACAATAAAACAAGCCTCGCAATAAAGTGAGTAAGGACCTTGCCTTCAGTTTATAAGAAAGGCAACATCCACGAAGCACAGAAGAATGAGGCATGCCTTGCCCTAACCGGTTTGGCTCAGTGGATAGAATGAGGCATGCCTGTACAGTCATTTTTTAAGTGATGATGAGTAGAATCTGATGTGAGCTAATAACGACAGCCCTCACGTGTGTACAGCCGATGGCAAATTCCAGATGTTTCCCCACGCACTGCTGGTGTGGCCCTGGGAACCACTCCAGAGATAGGAAAGGCTTCCTCACAGAACATTGCTGGTTCCCACCAAGGACCTTGGTTTTCTTGGTGCTCATGGTCATGATATTCAGGAATCCATCCTGGGATCCTCTCATTTACCGGCCACAAGCGTTCACTCAGTGCCTATAAGGTGTTGAGAAAATGCTAGGCACTGGATAGTCAGACAGGTCTCATAGAGTTTTAGCAGCAGAGGGACAATTAGGGGAAATGGACCATAAATTGTAATAAAACAGGGGAAATCCAGGAAGTCATCAGTACATCGTGGAGTCAAGTAGGAGACTAACACTAACAGGTTCCCATTTTTTTTCCTCGAGCTGTTCCTGAAAACTTAGTATTCTCTGAAAATATTTATCTGACAGTAATATATTTTTAACTCAAGCAAGATAATGTCTAAACAACTGTTGGGGAGGTCTCTGACAACCAGATCAAAATAGCTGGGTATTATTGGGAAAGCAACAGGGAGCCCCGGAAGTTTTCTAAGGAGGAAGGTGATAAAATCAGAGATATACAAGATAGATGAGGGATAGAGAAGAAGGCCGAGGGCTGCACTGACCACCAGGGGGCAGACGCTCAATGCAGGAGCTGCCCTCTGGTGGTCAATGCGCTCCCACAGGGGGAGCGCTGCTCAGAGCTGGTGAGCACAGAGGCGCTAAGGATGTCAGACTAACAGCTTAGGCCCACTCCCCGCAGAAACGGACCAGAGGGCACAGGCCAGGCTGAGGGACTCCCCCTGCCCCCCTCAAGTGCACAAATTTCATGCACCGGGCCTCTAGTAATCTAATAAATATAGGAATGGTTGATGGTATAGGTATATTCCTACAGAGATTTTATTTTCTGGACACATCTTTGATTTTGTGTGTTGCTTTATTCAGACTGAGCAATCAGAAGTATTAAGCAATTCTAAATAGGCACAAAGTGATTTGATGTTAGTTAACATAATAATTGTTTCTTCCACTGTAATGAGTTCAAAAGATGATATAATATAATATAACATGATCTACTAGGGCATCTGGCAAGAAAACTATATATCCAATGAGCTGTCATTAAAAACAATGTTTAAAACAATTGTCAATCCACAAAAATCTTTAAAAAATTAATGTAGTTATATTTGGCTTAAGAGTAAGAGAACAGGATGTAAATACTATATGCTTAATTAAACTATACCAGAAATGCTCCTCCCCCTGAGTAGCCTTGTCAAAAAGAGTTACTCAAATAGGTGGTGTCAGGTAGGGACTACTAGACTCATCGGGGGATCACCTTGTAAGTTACATAAATGTTTAACCACTGTGCTGTACACCTAACGCTAATATTGAATGTCAACTGTAATAAAATTTTTATTAAAAAAATGAGTTACTCAAAATGCAAAAGAGTTTGCTGTCACTACAGGTGTCACTTGCATCTCCCTTCTTTTTGTATGACTGCGAGTGAAGAGAAGGCCAAAGATTTCTCCAAAATATTTCAGGGCCCCTCCCCCGATTTCTTGGGCGGTCAGGACCAGTCAGCAGGGATAATTATGGCTCTTACCCAGCGTCATCCTGGAAGCCTTCTAGCTCGTCCCGCTGCTCTGCCAGGGTGGCTTCCAGGTCCAGGTAGGTGCCATTGTGGGAGAGCTGCAGCGTGCAGTCGTCGAGCTGCAAGAGAAAGAGCCTGGTCAGCCCAGCCGGCTCCTGGGAGGGGAACTCTGCATGGAGCAGTCACTGCATGTTGCCCCATGTGGGTTTTTAATCAAGCATTATTCTGAAGTGCAGATCATCGTTGGAGGAGGTAGTGTGTTCCTGTGAGTAGATTGGAAGCAGACTGCCTACCGAGTGGACAGATACGACACCTATTAAGGGAGTGGCCTTGACAGGGCCCAATGGATGTCGATGGGGGTGGAGAAGGAGCCCTTTGGGCCAGTGCCACTTTGCACTCTGAGGGGCCCAGGAGAATCTATGGATGTGGGGAGTGGGAACCAAGATCACAATGCTGGTGTGAACGTGGATTAAGAGTCCCAGAGTTTCAAAGGCAAATTTGATGGGAAAACATGTTGTTTCCTTTGATTCAGTGAGAAGCCTGCGTACTCAGATTCTGTCATGCTTGGCACAGTACAATCAATAGCTGCTCAATAAACAACTGAGCTAAAAGAAACATTCTCCATTTGGATGACAACATACCCAAATTACAACATACCACAGAGGGCCTGAGGTCCCTGGTTACTAGTCTCAGTTTTTTTAAATGTATTTAGCAAATACTTATTTGTTATTATGTTCATGCATAATTCTAAGCATTTTGCCTATGTTGCTTCATTTGCTTCTGACATGGACCGTACTTCTATTATTATCCCCACTTTACAGATGAAAAAACTGGGGCATAGAGAGAAACTAAGAGATGTCCCATCTGGTAATGATGGAGCTGGGATTTGGATACCAGCCGTTTGACTCAAGATCATGCGCTCAACCACTAAGTTCTGATCTTTCCTATGGCCTGAGATCTACGAAGGACTTACAAATATCAATCTTGCCATATATAGCTATGGCATCTGAGTGTTCCGCTGGTGTGCCATGTGTTTGTCAACCCCCTTCCCTTTCCCTCCTGGACACACAGACCACATATCCCAGCCTTATAGTTGGTTTTCAGCCGTGAAACTGAGTACCGACCAATGGAATGTGAGTGAAAGTGCACAAGGCCCCCAACACCCCTGGCCACAACACCCTTGCACAACGTCCCACTTTTCATCTCTTGCCTGCGGCCAGATGCAGAGGGGCCAGCGGGGGACTCCAAAGTCTAGAATCCACAAGAGCCCCAGGTTCCTGAATCGCTGCACAAAACAGAGCCCTTCGCTACCCCGCCTCCACTAAACCAAAACGAGCAAGACAAGAGCCTTTGTGGCAGTGAGTTGTGAAGATTTTGAGGCTGATTGTTACAGCAGCATCACATGACATTTACAATGATCAAGACACATAAAAATAAAGGGAAATAATTTTACCAAAGATTAAACTGACATGACGAGGAAGCCCAAATGTATAACTGCATGCTTGATTTCTCAGTCTGTAGGGTGGCTCTTTTTATTCACCTACTTGCTGAGTTAGGCTCTTATTTCAAAATGACAGGCGGTTGGGGAAAAACAGAGGCGAACATGTGGCTACTTTAAAATGACTAAATAAACATGTGATAATACTTCCGCAGTGAGATTTCAAACAAGGAATTCGTCTCTTGATAGAAAAGCTATGCTTATCCCCAACAAGAGAACAGAGACTATCTTCTTGTCTAGAATGAGCACTTCTAAGAGGCTGCTGATCCTTTTTTTTTGAAAATCAACTTTAATGAAATAGAACTTACATTAGATTGCACAGATTTTAAACTGTACAGTTTGATGAGGGGGTTTTTTTGGGTGTTTTTTTTGTTTTTTTTTTTAGTTGTTTTTTCAATTAGAGACCGGGCAGGTCCGTGTTTCTGGTTATCCTCAACAAATTGAAAGGAATTTGTTCTTTGTTATTTGTAAGAAACACCTAGTTAAATTGTTTAAAGGGGTTAATCCTATTTGATTCACTTGTTTGATTTCTCTAATAACAAACTGTTCCTCTAAGGGCGTGCTGGTGAGGGTCAGCATTCTTGACTGGCACAGACGGATCATCTGATCCGAGACAGCATTTAACCCAGGAATCAAATTGGCCAAATTCATGGTTCTGAGGTGTCAGGGGTGCACCCATGGTTTTGGGGAAACACACAGGGATCTGCTCCCCCCACCTGTGGAACCAGCAGCCAGAAATGGTTTCCTGCAGAGGCATCTCCTGGGCCCAGGGTCTCCTGAGGACTGAAATCCGACTTTATCCTTCCCAGGTGGAAAATTCCATGAGACCCTGGACCTGCTAACATGCACACTGACCATGTGGACGGCTGGACTCACAGCTGCTCATTCTTGCTTTTAACTCCTACAGATGTTGTTAACTAAGAAAGCAACTTGATCTGTTGTGTTGATAGTATCCGCACATTTGTTTATTTTTAATCCCACATATAATCAACAGCCTAGAAGGTGGGGGTAATGAAAGCCCTTTAGGCCATAACAATTTCTTGGGCTTCAGCATCTAGAAACAGGTGAGCCCAGAGAAAGCTTTTGGGTAGACCAGGGGTTGGGAACCTTTTTTCTGCCAAGGGCATTGGGGTATTTATTACATCATTCACGGGCCATACAAAATTATCAACTTAAAAATTAGCCTGCTATATTTGGTCAGACATTTAATTAACTCACCCCTAAAGTCTTGGCAGGACCAGACCAAATTATTTCCAAGGCCTTATACGGCCCGAGGGCTGGACGTTCCCCACCGCTGGGGTAGATCGTTTCTGCCTCTCCCCGAGGGGGTCTGAGTCACTCTGTAGTCCACCCGCAGACCCGGCGAGAGCCCAGGGGGATAGGGACAGCCTGTGCACTGGTATGTGGTGTAAATTCTCCCACCGCTCGTGGCCCATGTCAGCCAGCGGCGTGAAGTCACTGAGCGTGGGGTTGCATAAGATGTGCAGCAACTAACCAGTATATGGTATGTTTACCAGGTACAAGCGATGTCAGAAACCTCAAAAGGATGAGGAGCAGTAAAATGTAATAAAACATTTAGGAAGTGACATGTTTTGAGTTGCGATTATTATCTTTATTTTTTTATTTTTTGTTGTTTTTACGAGAGTATAGTTGCCATACAATCTGATATTAGTTTAGGTGCACAACATAGTGATTCGACATTAATATAATGTATGATGCGATCACCACAATCAGTCTAGTAACCATCAGTCACCATACAGTTATCACGATGTTACCGACTATATTCAATGGTCTGTATGTACATTACATCCCAGTGACTTGTTTATTTTATAACTGGAAGTTTGTACCTTATTATCTTTATTATCCTTGTCTTTAATAGAACTTATTAATTGTACACGTATATCCTTAAATCTTGAATAATAGCTATATTGAACAGCTGGCTCACAGAACCTCTGAGAATACCCACCAGCCCTCTCGAGCCCCCCAGGCCCACTCCAGCACACTCTGCTCTGGCCCTCCCAGGTCGCTAATTTGAGGTGCCTAAGGTGGAGACAGCAGGGGGTGCATGAAAGGCTTGCAGCCCTCTCCACCCCGCCCCAGCCCTATGCTGTTCTTAGTTAGGGGAAAGTGGGGATTCCTAGTGGCTGGCAGATGCAGCCCTTATGGCAACTCTGGCTATCTGGCACATCATCTCCACACAGGCCCTTCCGATGTTATTCCCAGCCGGCCAAGGTGAATATCTGGTTTTCCTCAACACTCACCCTGGCCCCCTATACTCCCAGCCAGCCCTGGACCACAACAGGAAGCCCCACACCTCTCAGCCTCTGACAGCAGAATCCCGAAACAGCAGAACCGCCTATTCTCCTCACGCCTCTCCTCACAGTCACGGCCACATTAGCCATGACCATTTCCACAGGTCAATTTCAACAAAATGATATGTCAGGCACAGGCTGGGCACCAAGGAACACATAAATGCTTCCTTCCCTCAAAGATCATTTTCTTGAGTAAGAACGACACAGAAGAGAACAAAAAGCCATTTTAAACCAAGTGTCCAAATGTGTGCAAGCTCACCCTCAGTTCTATTCCTCCTCTATAATTAGCAGCCACAGCCTCCGTGACCCAAGCATCCTCCATAAAACCGCCCGGTCCCCCTTCCGGAGACAGGCTGTCACTACTTCCCAGGCCAGTGTCACAACCCCGCTGCCCCTGCCTAATAGTTTAGCCATCTGTGCTCGCAAGTCCTTCAACTAAAACAGAAAACGTGACTATGTATGTGCCTTTTGACCCCTCAAGAAGTGTGTGTGTGGAGTCCTCACGGCAGGGCTACAGCAAGGGGGCAAGGTTAGACACCCCCGCCTTTGGGGAGCCCAGACACGTGGGCACCAGAGCGGTCCCAGCAACACGGCTGCCTGTGAAGACACCAAAGGAATCGACACACACTGCCCACCCCCATCCTGTGATACAAACCCCACCTCAACGTGACACCCGAGACACACGAGCTTAATATTTAAACCATCACATGAGCCAAGGAGTTAGAAGAAAGGGCTTCCTTGCTGGACTGACACATTGAAAAATTGTGTCAATATTTTGGGGAGAGGTTTTAGGTATTTTTTAATCCTCACCCAAGGTTATGTCAATTGATTTTTTGATTCTTTTTTTGAGAGGAGAGAAGGGGGGGAAAGAGAGAGAGAGAGAAACATCGACATGAGAGAGAACCATTGATCGGTTGCCTCCGTATGTACCTGGACCAGGGATCAAACCAGCAACCTTTTGGTGTACGGGACGACGCTCCAACCAACTGAGCCTCCCGGCCAGGGCGCTTGAAGTATCGCTTTTACAAACCAATTGATAGGGACGCTAAATGAATTCTTCAGACTTGCCGGGGATACCTAACAGCAGTTACAAACGAGTACAGCCGGGTGAAGAGGCAGTGAGTGGACGTTGTTAGCTCCCAGCTGGTCGTTATGAAGATTCGGCCGGCAGTACCCAGACTCTGCCTGCAGGCTGAAGGCTCAGACACCTCCTGCCAGACCAGCTCCTGACGGGAACCTCAGCTCCCACTTAGAGGCAACCTGATCCCTTGCCTTGGCCTCTCCTGTCAACTGTCTTCCCGGATGACTTAAGGGCCCTGGAATTTCCTGACTCCAACGATTTTCATGTCAACCCTGAGCCCCTGGCAGCAGGGCCCCTGCACTCCTCTCTCAGCTCCAGGCTCAGTGGCCAGGACACTGCGGGCACTTCAGGACATAAGACAACGCGGGAGCCAGGCGGGATGATAATGTTACAGGGCCGTTATAAAGTGCGTTAGGGAAGTTTGGGGGCAGTGACAGTGGCAGAGCAGGAAGGCTTGGGATCCGGTTGCAGGCTGTAAACCAGCAGAAGGGATTCTGTGAGGGGCAGCGTGCTCTAGAGGGAATCAATCACCGATCTACAAGGAGGGACCCATGCAAATATCCTGGAATTTTGTGCCGCTCCTCCCGGGTCAAAGCGAACCATGAACATGTGCTCTCGCCCTGGCTGGTTTGACTCAGTGATTGAGCGTTGGCCTGCAGACTGAAGGGTCC